ACACACACACACACACACACACACACACACACACACACACACACACAAAAAAAATCAATTTCAATTAGACTTGTGTTTATTTTATTTTGCCTCCTCTAGCTCATGAAGTTGTGATGAATTATTACATTTTTAAATTAAATTTTTAAATTTGAACGAGTATTCACTTGATGTCCCACTCTGACTTCGTCCTCCAATATAAAAGAATAATATAAACTTGCATGAGATGACATCATTGTGGAGGTCAGCCGAGGACACGTTTCAACCTGCGGCTGAAACTCTTTAAAATCTCATATTTTCTCTCTGAAGCATAAATCGGATGTTTTATTTAAATACAGTGTGACCAGAACTAAAACTCAAATGGACTCCAGTTTAATCTTTCACTCATCGTGCCTCTGATTCATGTGGCCATGTGACTTTATCATGAACTAGTTCTCACGGTGTTTACATCTCATCTCAGACAGAGCGCTGCGTCTATTTGAGGAAGCAGAAACACACGGAGGACAGCCTGGTTACAAACTGTGATTATAAAGTGCACAACATTGGTGTTCATCTTCATCTGTTAAATGTCACGCGCAGCCTTTGCTGCATTGATTAAGTTAATGTCTCTCTGTGCTGCTCATTTTGTTGTTTACAAGAACTTTTGTTACTTCAGGTAAAAGAGCGACAGACAGAAACTTTGAAAGGATCCACCAGCTGCAGAAAAAAAGAGACGCAAACAACAACGATATGACCAGAGCTCTTTTTATTTATCAATAAAGGATTTTTGTCAGATTGAAACGCAGTCTGAATGATTGATTCACCGTGTGTGGGATCTTCATTGTTTGTCGTAAACTTTCCAGCGGATCTATTTTATTTTATAAATGTCACATTGTCTACAGCGGATCGTCACAACCTGCCGAAACCACTAAATGATCCCAACTGAGTCTGCTTCATCTCTAAACTCATTAAAAAAAAAACATGCTGGTAACCATGTGGGCAAAACAGATGTGACCCATTTCAGTTCTCAGGTTTGAGAACGAGGCCTGATTCCAGAAGATGTTTTCGTGTTATCTATCTATAATAATGATTTCATATCATGAAGATGCTAAATGTGGACACAGACTTGGAAAAGGTGGTTAAGGCGACGGACAGCATGGCACATTATGCAGCAGCTAGATTGCAATTAAAATAATTGGGGTCCAAAACCTCAAACTGACAACACTCTGCTCTGCTTCCTGATAAAAGTTTGAGAGCTGCAAGATTTCTGTATTTTCTGACCAGACTGCAACCATCTGTCAAATTGAAACGTATCGGACTGACTTGGCAAATCGGCTTAAAAGTTGTACTTCTGAGATTTTAAGTCGTTCTTTGTTTATATTTATTTTATTTAAAGTTTTCTTGGTTACTTATAAGATGGAACACTGTCATTTATGTGATTTCATGGATGAATAGATTAAATGAGGGCTGCAGCTAAAAGATATTTCCATTATTGATCAATCTGCGTATTATTTTCTCCATTAGTTGTCTAAAGTCTTGTTTTGTCCCACCAACAACTAAAACCCTTTTATAATCACATTAGACAAACTAAAGCTACTAATTCTAAATCTGTAATGTTTGTTACAATCTATTTAAATGTTAAATTGACAGTTGCCGATTACATTTCTGTATATCGACTCATCAACTTATTGCTTCAGCTCCAAATGGAGTCTTGAACCTCGTGGTTTAGAGACACTGAATATTCCCTTTGTTTTATCTATTGTGTGACATTTAAACCCCAAAGGGTGCATTTATCTATTTATAAGGGTTTAGTTGAAACTACTCTACATAATGCTGGCTCTACTGCTCTCAATTCAATACTGTCGATAAAGGGACACACACACACACAATCAATAGCCTTAGTCAGCAAGTTGATTGATCAATCAGTAAATCAGTCTATCTATCTCAGGTTACATCATATCAAGTATCAAATGTATGATTCTTACTCAAATTTATATTACAATGTTTCATTTTACATGGGCCCCTCCCACATGAAGGCCAACAGCCCATTCCCATCCGCTCACACACACACACCACACGCGCGCGCACACACACACACACACACACACGCACACACACACACACACACACACACACACGCGCGCGCGACAAAAAACACAACCCCCGCATCACCACCGACCGACTCCGTCCTGACTGCGCTACTCTCCCCGCCCTCCTGCATCTCTAGCCCGGCCTCACGCTCCGTGCGAGCCGCGCTCACAATCCCGCAGCAGCAGCTGCAGCATTTCACGTCTCTTTTGGCCCGACAGGCCACGAAACGTAGGCCACATTATCTGCGATGACAGCCCTCTTTTTATTATTATTATTATTTGGGGAAGCATAAATAAAGCTGACGGGAAAAAAGGCACCATTAAAATCCTTTGATACATCTTTTAAAATGACTCAATGTCACAGTGGAAGTTATAGCCTACCAGCTCATATAGGGATGTTTAGTAGACTATAGGAATAGCATGGAATAATATATATATATAAATAGAACAAAACAAGGTTTTATCCAGCCTCTGCAGCTCGTTATTGTCGGCTTATTTAAAGCAGAAGCACTTAACAGGCTTTGATAGGCCGCGCGTGCAGGATACCAAAATGAGAGAGAGAGAGAGAGAGAGGTAAACAGAGACAGAAAAAGGGAGAATAAGAACATTTACCCGAACATCCCCCCGAGGAAGGATCCGGACGCCTTGACCTTTTTGTCGGCTTCAGCCATCAGCTGCATGGCCTCCTTCTCTTTGCCGGAGTTGTCCATGGCGAGCTGGGAGGGATTGTGAGGAGAAACGGGCCGATGTGTTCCGCAGTGAACGGAGAAGGAGGAGGCGAGCAGAGCGGATCGGAGGAGGATGGAGAGAGAGAGAGAGAGAGAGAGAGACGTCTCTGCTGGTGCTGATGCTGGGAGACTGCGGGCTCTTCTTCTACGGTGAGAGAGAAGGGTCATTTACGGCTCGTAGTCGCCATCTGCTGGAAACAATTGGAAAGGCAACTATCTGGTTCTAATTGATTTAAAAAGGAAATAAGTTACCTTTATACTTGTTTCACTTACCTCTAGTGTGATTTATCAGTGATTATATATATATATATATTCCAATATTTTACTTAAAGGTACAGTGTGGAGTTTAATGTATAATCACCTGAAAACATCAACCGTTGTGTTTCCGTTACCTTAGATTGAGCCGTTGAGGACCATCATGTATCTACAGGAGCCCAAAAGGGACAAACCAATATATCTATATAAGGCCACCGTAGTTCTCCTAAGGAGTTGGCACAGGAGTAGTTAGTTGTAATCAATCTGCAACCTCACCTAGATGCCGCCATATCCTACATTAGATCTTTAAGTAAAAGTAGCAACGCTGGAAAGGTTTATAAAAAGTTTACACATGTAGCTTGAATAGCATCACTGTCACGGTTGGGTTTTGCCTTGTGTGTGTGTGTGTGTGTCTCCTGATCATGCTCATTCTCTTCACCTGTGCCCAATCACCTGGCATTTAACCTGGCAACCCCACTCATCTCAACTCACCTGCCTGCAATCTTCTCATCACCCCACACATATTTATACTCCCCTGCTTGGCCTGTTCCAGCTGTCAGATTGTCATTTGTTCTTTCCCTGGGGTGCTTCATGTTTCGGCCTTGTTCCTCCCCGTGGGCTCCTCGCGTCTCCACAATAACAACAAGACAAACAGAGGTAACACACATAGAGAGGTAAAAATTGTACTGCCAAGGTAAATAAATTGATAAACAAATAAGTCATCCACAAAACAATTAAAAACATGTTCAACATATATACATATATAATAACTATTCATTCGTCCAACAAAATAATGACAGACCGTCTCTCAGCTTGAAAGCCCGCCTCCACCTTCCGCCCCCATGACAGCAGTACACTGCCTCTCTGTGAAAGCCCACGTCATCGTGCTCGGGCACAAAGTCAGAGCAAAGTGTTGTGCAATGCAGTGGGTTTGTCTTGATGTGGTTGACAACAGTAATTACCTCCTCTCATACTCCTCATCGCTGCATCTTCTCTAAAAATGTTGGACAATAACACACGCAATGTAACCTTAGGAAAAACACCTCGTTTTTTTTAGATCAAACATTTTTTAATTTTCAACTGGTTTTAAAATAACATTCAGTGAAACCAAGAAACAATTCAACTAGCGGAGAAATCCAAGACAATAAAGCATGCCCAGTTTAATCAGTAAAGCAGGGGTGCGTTCAACAAGGCGTTTTGTTGGAGAACCACTTTGCAGACTTGAACATGTTTTTAACAGATCAGTTTTACGTGGTACGTTAATGAAAGCAGCTGAGTCTAAAATATTGCCGTTAAGCCTGCGGTGTACCTACCTTTATGAGGTCAGATACAGGCCGAGGTCAAAGCTGTTCAATCTGAATAAACAGCGGCTTAAATGTGAAGAAGCGGTTCCCGGCAAAAAGGGTTGTTGAACACAGCTGAAGCTTTAGTCCAGAGGAAAAAGCAAAACATGAAAACATTTCTCCAACTAATATTTTCTGGAAGATCACTGCACAAAAGAGTGACGGGCTCCGTTCATTTTTACAAAAAAAGGTAGACTTTGATGATTCCTGTTCTTGATCCTTAATTATCATGAAAATAACAACAACTAAATGGATCATCAGTTAGATAACTGTGTTAAAACAACTTTCACATCTAAACAGATAAATCATGCAGTGGCAGCAGACTTTGAGGCTCTTCCACACCTAGCAGGACGTCCAACTGCCGGTCGAGTCGTGTGGCAGTCCGATGGGAACCGACCGGACGTCGCTGCTACTGAAAACTGATCATCGGTCGAAAACAGGTGAATCCGCGAGAACGTTGTACTTATCCCTTAATCCTTCTGTGCGAATCCTCTTCCTTCCCTTAAACATTATTGAAGTGAAAGTCCATAAAAAAGTCCAGTCATGCTATTATATATATTTTAACAACTTAACCTTGAGATACATTTTTTCTCCCAGAATCTCATGAAATAAATAAATAATTGCATAATCAAACAATTTGAGGACTCAATAAATGATCCAGTGGCAGTTTAGCATAAACAGTGTAAAATACAAATGACAGATATTGACTGTGCCGGTGTCTTTGTCCTCTGCAATCACATTCAGTTAAATGTGATAGTCAAATGATTTAACTAATTCAGAGTGTGTCAACATACTCATTCATATTCTGAATATGAGCTTCAAACCTGTTACGGTCTAGGGATGATCACCCGTAGGAAAACAATTAATAAAATCCGAAATGGTCCGATAATATGCTCTTGAAATATTACATGACATTAGATGCATTGATGAAACATAAAACCATGACTGTATTCACATTATGCTGTGGTCTGTGTGTGTGTGTGTGTTATGTTGTGCTGCTGTGCACATTATCCTGTGTTGTTATAGTATGCAACATCATTTCTTATCGTATTTTCTCAAGTTTAGACGAGCAAGATGTGACTCATTAACACCACCGAAGTGCCCTTGAGCAAAGTAAAACAACCAGCTGCTCTTTCTAAGCATAGATATTATTGCAGTTGTTGACTATAATGATAGATGGATAGATAGATTTATAGTGAGATAGATAGATAGATAGATTTAGAGTGAGATAGATAGATTTAGAGTGAGATAGATAGATAGATAGATAGATAGATAGATTTAGAGTGAGATAGATAGATAGATAGATTTAGAGTGAGATAGATAGATAGATAGATTTAGAG